ATCTCAACCAATGATAGTCAGATTATCTGGAAGGGATGATTATTTATGTGAGGGGGTATTTGTTTCATTCATACTGTTTAAACATGAAAAATAAATATATCACAACAGACATTTGATGCATTCAGCTCTACATCTTTCTACTTAATTTTGTAAGTTGGTTGATGCATTGGATCATCACAACAGGCAACCGGCAAAGTGTAAGGTGTTGGTTGCATGTAGTCGACAGGAAACCCTGTTTTATTTGGTTGGAGGTAGTCAACCAACCAGCCATATGGAGACACCTAGACTAGTGGCTATATTGTAAATTAATCGAAAGAATTCGAATAGCACCAAGAAGGACTGAAAATATATGACACTGGTCACTGTCAGTGACCAATCAATTGTAAAAACTGAAAACTGTTAAAGTGGTTGATTATATTTTCATTAGTCACATGTTAATGAAACACAACGAATAAAATTGCTAATGAAGATTATTTTGAAACTGATTGCCGAATTATCTAGTTGCATCGATTTTTTTGTATTAACAGTGACTAAAAATGTACACACTTATGAGATAATCTTACATTAGAAAATGAGATATTAACAACATTATAGACTTATATGGATAATCTGGAACATGAAAATGCAATTCAATTAGTTCGTTGGCTGTACGTCTCTCTTATGTTGATAAAGTCTTTTCTTCATAAATTGAATTCAACGAATGGGACCATCAAAAATTAGAAACTAGTAAATTATTACTTTATTCCAATGTTAGATTCATGAACTTCATAAATGTCTACTGCCGTAAAATTCCAAATGAATCCATAATAATATCTCTGGTGATTCAGCCAGTATGTTTGAGAATGGATTTTAAGTAGAAAAGTTAATAATTATTTGTAATTCGACTCGTTTCAGTTGTTTAATACATATTCGGTTATGTATGATTGTTCTGAATAAATCTGTTACATCTATAGTATCATGAAATACTTTCGATAGCATATGTTCAAAATTAAACTCTGGATAACTATTGCAGAAAAGAAATAGTGACTTGTCTGGACAAATTATATACATCAGTATGGATTTGGTTTTCATTATTTTAAACAACTTGTCACCAAAAGATTCACATTCATCGTTATAACATGATATATATGGGTGTGATACAATCAAAGATGATCTTCATGGTTGAATGATGCACATATTTTAAGCTAACCTCGGATCAAACTGCTAGTCTTCTGACAATGGTGTTTTCCTAACTGTAAGCGTTCCCAGATTATCTTTCAATACATATCGATATGACAAGTAAAAATTAAGCCTGATGGTCAGATTTTATTATTTTTTCTTAAGATTATGTATATTACGTTATCACTTCACTGAAGAAACAAACTATGCTGGCGATGTGTTTCTTTTTGGATAACAGTTCGATTGGGTGACGAGGTGTTACATTAATAATTCAATTTTATGGGCAGTTAAAAGTTAGTCATTATACACTGTTAATCGGTCATTCTTCTATTCATCTTTTACAAGAACTAAAAGATGTCTATCATCACAAATCCTGGAATATATATGTATATATGCATGATATATAACATGTAACTGTGAATTATTTGGTTCAATCTGAAATACCGACAGTAATTGAGCAGACTAATTATTCACTCTAACCTACAGTGTTTACTAGAAAATTACTCTTCTTAATCCAGAAAAATATCTCATGCCTGAAAACTTTTTAAAAAAGTTATCGAATAGAATTGAAGTGAGATTCAATAAAAAGATATCATAGTTGAGAATAATAATAAAACAATTGGACAAGAATATTAGAACAACACTAAATCCAGAAAATGGATCCCCTTTTGAATCTGTCTTACTGAAAGAACTTATTATAAAACTACAGGAGTTTGTCGTTTTTCATTATTGAGGGACCGATTTATTGTGAAATACGACCTTTGTATGTGGTTGCCACCATTATTACCTCTGGTCACACCTGAACTGGAATTACTGGAACGCACCAGTGTGACAGTAGAGGTGATCTTCATCTTGCATGTGATTCGTTAAGAGACGTTAGTTTGTAAAAAAAACAGTATTTCGATGAACAACAGATCGAACCAGTTATCAACGTTATGATATTGAAACCAATGTGTATCTTTGAGAGATTTTTTTCAACTGGTATAGGATATTCATCATGGCTTGATATCACTTTGAGTATCACTTAAAAGCCGTTTCGTCACAGAATGGGTCCCTTCAGTAGTGTGCATCAAAGATATCAGCTACAATCAAACCTATGATCAGTCAACCACTCCACACGACCACCATTCAGTACCGTTTATGATATATATGTCAATTCCAATATAATTGAACGCTTCATAAATTTAGTCATTCGTCTTAAATGACGTAAATGTGAATACAACTAAGATAGGCTGAGTTTAACTTTTATCATGAACCAATGTAGCAGACTGATTGATACAGTAAGTACTTAATACATAAGATTTGGCTATGACAATCGGCTGTATATCATTCAGTGTATGTACGAATTAAAAATCGTTTTACAAATTGTTTAGTTAGGGTTATCATTTATTAAGTTTAAATAATGTCAGTTAACCAAATTAATCAGATGTAAAAATTGAATTTTTCAACAAACAAAAAATATTACAATCGACTTTATAACTATTCAGTAAATCGATATTTGATAGTCAATAAGATTTCAGAAGAGTTTCTATGAACCAATGAAATTTTAAAGTTATTATCACACTAATTCAACTTTGATGTAGTTTCCAATTTACAGAATTGTTGGGATATTCATAAAAATATCCCAAAGATTATTCTGTTAAGTCTAATGCTATCCTTGAACGTGAGATGGCGTCGTCTTCCTATTGGTCAATATTTGTTTCACGTGCCATTTTCCTATTGGTCAATACTCACGGTCGTCCTAACTTTATAAATATGCATTGTCTGTAAAGTATTCTTCTTCTCCTGGCCCCATAAACAATTTTCATCCAACGGTTCGCGTTCTGATTTATTGGAGATTGGCGAACAGTATTGAGGTCGTACTGTGATATCTGGAGTTGGTCAATCGGTAGAATTTAGAATAGCCACCACGCGGTAAGTGATGCTCAAACATACATATTTATACAAGCGCGACAATAATAACGGTACAACGGTATAGATAAGTTGTTATTATACAGATGACTTTGTCCGTTAAACAAGTTAACAAAAGAGCTTGACCAAATTAAATGTGAACAAACTCAAATGCATGTGAGCTACTATAAAATATTGAATGTGAAAAAATCCACAAGACACTGGATATTTAGGATTCATATTTTGTATAATCCTTATGAAGCAACGACTGTTAGATCAGCACATCAAGAAGTGATAGTCTAACCACTTGTAAGTTTATTTCACCTTATATTACAAAACAGTAACTGAAATGAAAGTTGACGATGTATTATGCGTACAGTTTGAATAAGTCAGTGTTTCATACAGGTACTATTAACTGAAAATTTATCTTATAATGTTGAAAATCAGTGTTTAGTACACAACATTGTCACTCAATGAGAGGAATTTGTGAACAACAATCATTTTCAGGTATCGTCGATTCGAAAAATCAGGTTTTCACATAAATTTTAGTAGAACTACGTTTACACCTCAAAGTTGTACGTCAGATATTTTACTAACAGATTAGCATGGCAACAGCGTTAAAGGTGCTTTAAATCGACGCGAACCACTTGTATGATCGCCAATAGCAGATCTATCTCATATATCACACTCTTACTCATACAATTTGTAAGCAGAATCACAAAAACATTTTCGTTATCAATCGACAACCAGTATATTGAGTTGAATTCAGCTGTTGCAGTAACAGTAAAAGTAATGGGTAATGGACCATATCTTTGAACATATTCTAGAATGGCTATGTTGAAAAGGAACATATCAACTGAATTCCCTGAATGTTTCAAATATAAATAGCTATTAATTAGTAGTAAGCATTGAACTAATGTGTGTATTATATGTTCGACTGACTCTTAATTACACTATAAGTCAAACAGTCTTTAGTGCCTTAATCCGTATTCTGTAAACTGTTGTAATAAAAAACCTAAGTATGATCTTCTTTACAAATTTGTCGTTTTATGGTGTAATAACTACAACGGTTATATATTAACACTGTATTATTAATCAATCTTCAAGAAAACAAACCGATATACACGAATTTCCATGAAAGTTTTGATAGCTAATCCATATCCTATTTTAAAGCTATCAATATTGGAACTGTTTATCCAGAAGTTTATTCAAAACACATAATTATGCCTGGTTTAGTTAGTACAAGAATTACTTAGGTAGAAAGAAAAAAATTCAAACAAAATACGCTTTAAGTAACCAATCTAATTAATAATCCCAAATAATTAACAGACAGCCGAAACAATGTGATAAGAACATCCTGAGATGATTTTAAAAATTCTGATCGGTATGGAGAGCTTTCCTCCCTTATTATTTCATTCAGATGTTTATTGGGAAAAGGAGAATATAACCAGATTTTAAATTATATCAATCCATAAGAACGACGCTGAGATGAATCTAAATTTTTCTATTTATGTATCTACTCTATGTATTTATCTTAATAAAAGTCCGAATAATAATCTTCACATCGATCTACTTAACATTGGAGTCACATTATTCATTAAAAAATAAGACTGAAACAAAATGAATATATTTTCGAGAAATTAGTAGTGAAAGTAGAAAAACAGGAGACAAAAATCAACACTGAATATAAATTTGAAAGACTCTCCATATATCTGTTATGTCATTGTCATTTATAATAATAAAACGGATCAGTGAACAAAGAGATTAAACATAAACTATACGTATAACAATATGATCAGATGATGAATGAGTGAGTGTACATAAGAAAAGAACACATGAAATATATTTATATCACATATATGTCCGTTTAAAAAATAAGTAACATAATGATAATAATCTACATAGACAAATAATATAATTTACAAATAAACAGTTTATAGATTATCAATTGTTCACATTTCAGATATACTATTAATATGATATGGATATTTATTCATTTCAATGAAATAATCTTCCAAGTTTAATAAACCATTGATATATTCCTGAAAATAAAAAAATACATAATAATAGAGGAAGAATAAGCACAGTAGTTGATAACTTAGTAGAAAAATAAAATTATTGTTATTATTATTATTGGTGGTGGTGGTAGTAATTAATGTGATTGTGTTCTGTATTATCTCATACCAATATAACTGGTTTAAGCACTCCTATGTAGTATATAATCTGTCATTTTAGGCTAATCCGGATAGAAGCAGGTTAGAAGAGGCTACATCAAAGCATAATTCCATTCATTAATGACATCACCAGTTCATATGGAGCAGACAAAGAAAAGTTTTTAATTTGTAAAAAAGCTTTCGCAGTGCTCAGTGTCATATAAGCTGGGTATTCTGAAATATATCTTTCTGAAAAAAGGCAGTCAGATTTTATCGAAACTCATCCTTTGTTGCACTGCATAAAATATTTCACAACAGTCTAGAAAAACTGAACGTAGATAATTGAAACTGTATTCTCCAAAATCATGACATCCAGCCGTACATTATCTATTGAATAATATTTTTAAATGTTTAACAAGATACTCGATGTTCAACTATTTAAACAAAGGTTGAAGTCCCACTTCGAATAATTTGGATGGAAAATTAGGTATTATCATTAAGTTACATTCAAATCTGAAAACACAAATGTTTGCTTGATAAATTATTTATATCATTAAACTGTAAATCTTATTATCATTACTAATATTATTATTAATAATGGCTTTATTCAATATAATATTTTTGGTACGTTATAGAATTCTCTGCACAAAGTATTTCAGCAAGTTTCGTTTTCTTATTTCCCGATCGATCTTTGCGATAAATACTGAGTGGTCGTCAGCTAGAAGTTAGCTATCCAGTCAATCGACATCGAAATAATGTACATTCTTTTCGCTGCATATTACCAACAACCATGATATCTCTGATTGGGCCTTTTGTAACTTGTACAACGAAAGGTTGTACACTTTTTACAAACACATCTGAATAGGTTATGAGACTAATAGACATAATGATATGTTAAAACAAACAAGAAAACAAATAACTTGTTGAAATATCCAAATGGCAAGAACATTTAACCCAGATATTCAAGCACGCCACCTTGGAAAATGGACATTTAGTGAAGAACTTCTGAATTAAATTAATTATATTTTTTATACTTTCTAATGATTTTATTCAAATGAGCTTATGTTGCATATAAATAATTTATGTTAAAATTGATCTGAATACCAACTAACTAATGAACTTCCATGATATATTGAATAATGAGAGGTAAATGTATTTAAATTATCATTTACATTCGTTGATATAAACAGTTACGTGATTAAATCGAAAGCTCACACAAATAACGTGTTGATCCATTCACTATTAGACAGACAGAATAATGAAGTATTTTGTACTTTAGCTCCCTAGTAAGCACAGGATAAATGTTATCATAAGGTGTTGAATTTGAAGTTTCAAATTACAGTGACAATGATTAGATAACTACAGGAAAACAGGAAACACTGGACAGCTATTTCGTTTTAGTATGGGACTCATCTGTAGTATGTATCCACGACCCCAACAGTAATTGCAAACAGGAACTTCACGTATCGCAGTGAGTGCCTAATTTCCATAAGTTTACCATTTTAAATTATAATAACAATAACCGAGTAAAATTAACAATAACGTAAATAAAAACGTACAGGTGATGGAACTGGAGGTCCAGTTCCGTTTAAACCACCATTACATGGGAGTAGATGGGGAGGGATTGCAGCATGAAGACTTTCTAATGATGTATTGTGCATAACGACCTATGATTGTGTAATAAATAGTAATCATTAGTCTCGGGATACAAGTAAAGAAATTTAGAAAACAGTGACGAGAATAAGCGTTTTACTTTCTAATTAGTCATAATGTCTAACTCAGACGCGAAACCCGTATACCATACTAGTGAATTCACTAATTTATAAGAACAATTTGATTGATAAATTCTGTTAGTGTATTGGATACTAATATTAAAAACTGTGTTTGTGTATTAAATGTAAGTTGAATTGTTCAAAACTGGTTATTCGGTGATAAACTTATCACAAAGTAGTCAATAAGTCTAATCCCATCACTGTTTATATAAAAAAGTATATATACAACTGTGAACATACTACAATCGCCACAAATCCCCATACTGATATATTAAATTGTTTTAATTTCACTTAAACAATGTTCAAATAAAACTAATACAAGGTATGAAATACGTCAGTAAGCGTAATTGATTTTTGAAATTTTAAACACTGAATATGTCTCCGTTTGAACTTTTAATTTTGTTCGCTATAAATCTACTACTTAGCTGATATCTATGCTCTGTGCTTTAGCATTATACCCTTGATTTACTTATCGCTTAATTTGTTATTTTTCAAAATGTTACTTTGTTCCATACTTTATATGAAGGTGCTTAGAGACCTTATTGATGAATTTTGCACGCTCTAGAGACACAAAAAATGTTTCTTGTATTTTGAGTTTAGTTATAGGAACAAATGTAATGTTGTTGTATCAAAGTCCCAATAGACTTTTACCTATCCATAGATAAATTTCTCTGCTTTTATTCTACTACTTGTCATTATGATAAACGTAGAGCCTGGAACAAATGCGTATAAGCACAAACTGCGACACCAGATCCGTAATATGAGGAGGAATGAACAAAATGAGTGGATAAATGATCGAAATAACTGTAAAAACAATGATAATGTGAAAGACTAAACACTGAGAGCATAGTTTGAGAAGACAGGAAAAAAGATATGTGAGAAGGGACACTGATAGTAAGATAAACAATTAATTCATCTTCACCATTGTGACCGATTGTCAACCATATCACTCACTGTCCTGAACTACTGATTCTGGTTATCGTGTAGTGGATAGCCAGGTAGTCGCCATGTGTTAACACAGCTTAGGTCAAGTCAACGAATACGTGGAGTGATGCCACGTTTCGGTTTGTTCACTCTTAGTTTTATTATCATTCTGATAGGGTTGGTTCAAACTTTTCACAAACACCCATCTATTGTCATCTCTATAGCAATTAAGTAAAAGGTTAGAAGTTGCTTTAAATCACTTACAACAATAACTTACCGGCTCAAAATTGAGTACACAAACTTGTACTTTAAAGTAAATTACATCAATATTTTTTTTATTCGTCAAAATGCACGTCCGTCATTTAAAACCAATAAATATTGAATGCTAATCAAATGGATTTTAATTTTGCATACACAATTTCCTTGACTCAGTTTGTACATTTAAGTCAACTAAACTATATGAGTTTGTGGCAGTATCGAACACCGTTAAAAGTAGCCGTTACTGTCGTGTTCCGTGAATTTTATATCAGAAATGAAAGTAAGTAAAAATTCTTATTGAGATAACGATGTTTTATTGATCAGTATTTACTAAAGTGTGTCGACAAATGAAATGTATAGTTGTTGGAAGAAGCCATCAGATACCGCTCTGATCTAGAGAGTATGACATTATATATTTTCTTTAAATTCACTAATCTATCACAATAAACATTTCACTTAGTATAAATCATTTATCCTTGTAAAGTCATTAGACCTCCCAATATTGATAATACTAATAATAGTTTAGGAAAATCCCAGTTTCAATAAGGTATAACTCACAAATATGTGAGTTGCCTTCCAGGCTCCATGTACAGATTAGCTTCATATAACAAATACCAAACAGACTTTTTACATAAATTATTATTTCCGTAAGTACAATGAAAGTTAGGAACTAAAAAAATGATGATAAGGGTCGGTTTCTCCTGGTATAAGATGAAGTGTGCATAATTGACAATCATAATAAGAAACACTTTTCCAGAAACAATCAATCATGAAACGACAATTAATAATGTAAAATTTAAGTTTTAAATTCAGATCAGCTATATTGTGGTCAGCTCCGCCTGTAGCTCTTCTAGAGTTACTGCCGGTCTCAAGCCCGGGTAAAGGAGGAGGGTTGGGCATGAGGTTAGTGACCCCATCCCGTAGAAAACTAACTCGCTAAAAAAACGCTTACCAGAAAAAATAATTCAAACCATTTAAACTCTGCCCTGGGAGTTAGAAGGTCTTCAGTTAGAAGAATTATGACGCTTCATGGTGAAAGCCGAGTTCCTTCGGAAGCCACGAGGCCGATGCCCCTTCTAACAACCAGAGCAAAAATTTTTATAGGTACATGGAACGTTCGAACAATGTGGGAAACCGGGAAGACCAGTCAAATAGCAATGGAAATGAGGAGATACAACTTAGCAGTACTGGGAATCAGCGAAACCCACTGGACCCAAGCTGGACAGAAAAGGCTAGCTACGGGAGAGATGCTGCTATACTCCGGTCACGAAGAGGACAATGCTCCACACACTCAGGGAGTCGCTCTTATGCTGTCCAAAGTAGCACGAAATGCACTTGTAGGATGGGAGTCTCACGGATCCAGAATCATCAAAGCATCATTCAAAACAAAGAAGGAGGGGATCTTAATGAATATTATCCAATGTTATGCACCCACCAATGATAGCAACGACGACATTAAAGATCAGTTCTACGAGCGGCTGCAGTCAATCATTGAGAAATGCCCAAGAAAGGACCTAACTATTCTGATGGGAGATCTAAATGCCAAAGTCGGAATAGACAACACTGGATATGAAGATATTATGGGACGACATGGACTGGGACAGAGAAACGAAAATGGAGAAAGATTTGCAAATTTGTGTGCATTCAACAAATTGGTCATAGGAGGCACAATATTTCCACACAAGCGTATACACAAGGCTACATGGATCTCACCGGACCACACTACAGAGAACCAAATAGATCATATTTGCATCAACAAAAAATTCCGAAGGACAATGGAAGATGTGAGAACCAGGAGAGGTGCTGACGTAGCTTCAGATCACCACCTAGTTGTAGCCAATTTAAAACTGAAGCTGAAAAAGAACTGGACAAGTGGACAAACAGCACTACAAAGGTTCAATACAGCCTTCCTTCGAGATACTGACAAACTCAATGAATTCAAGATAGCTCTCAACAACAGGTTCCAAGCCTTACAAGATCTACTGAAAGAAGAAGAAACTAGTATGGAGGACAACTGGAAAGGCATCAAGGAAGCATTAACTTCAACGTGTCAAGAGGTTCTGGGCCTAAAGAAACACCATCATAAGGAATGGATCTCTATAGAAACACTGGACAAGATCAAAGAAAGGAAGAACAAGAAGGCAGCAATTAACAACAGCCGAACACGAGCAGAGAAAGTCCAAGCACAAGCTGAATACATAGAAGCAAACAAACAAGTGAAGAGGAGCATTAGAGCCGACAAGAAGAAATACGTGGAAGAACTAGCAACGACGGCAGAAAAAGCTGCTAGAGAAGGAAATATGAAACAGCTTTACGATACAACGAAGAAACTAGCAGGGAAATACAGTCAAGGACAAAGAAGGCAAGCCAATCACCGAAATTCAACAACAGCGTAACAGATGGGTGGAATACTTCGAGGAACTCCTGAATAGGCCGGCTCCAATGAATCCACCGGACATCGAAGCAGCACACATAGATCTTCCTATAGATGTCAACCCACCAACGACGGAAGAAATTAGAATGGCCGTCAGACAAATCAAGAACGGGAAAGCAGCAGGACCCGACAACATACCAGCTGAAGCACTGAAATCAGACATCGAAGCAACCACAAGCATGCTTACCTTCTATTCAAAAAGATTTGGGAGGAGGAACAAGTGCCGATGGACTGGAAAGAAGGACACCTCGTCAAGATTCCAAAGAAAGGAGATCTGAGCAAATGTGAAAACTACAGAGGCATTACACTACTGTCAATACCAGGGAAAGTCTTCAACAGAGTGTTGCTGAACCGGATGAAGGATGCAGTAGACGCCCAACTTCGAGATCAACAAGCTGGATTCCGTAAGGATCGGTCGTGCACAGACCAAATTGCAACACTACGGATCATCGTCGAACAATCAGTTGAGTGGAACTCATCACTATACATCAACTTCATTGATTATGAAAAGGCATTCGACAGTGTAGATAGGAGGACATTATGGAAACTTCTTCGACACTACGGAGTTCCTGAGAAGATTGTCAATATTATCCGGAACTCATACGACGGACTACAGTGCAAAGTAGTGCATGGAGGACAGCTGACAGATGCATTCCAAGTAAGGACTGGAGTCAGACAAGGCTGTTTACTCTCTCCCTTCCTCTTTCTTCTGGTGGTCGACTGGATTATGAAGACCTCGACATCTGAAGGAAAACACGGAATACAATGGACAGCTCAGAATCAATTAGACGATTTGGACTTCGCAGATGACCTAGCCCTCCTATCACGTACACACGAACAGATGCAGATGAAGACAGCCAGTGTAGCAGCAGTCTCTGCATCAGTAGGCCTCAGCATACACAAAGGGAAAACCAAGGTCCTCAAATTCAAAGCGGAAAACAGCAATCCAATCACTCTTGATGGCGAAACTCTGGAAGATGTAGAGTCCTTCACATACCTGGGAAGCATCATCGATGAACAAGGAGGTTCAGATGCAGACGTAAAGGCGAGGATCGGCAAAGCAAGGGTCGCATTCCTACAATTGAAGAACATATGGAACTCAAAACAACTTTCAACCAATATCAAAGTGAGAATCTTCAATACGAACGTCAAGGCAGTTCTACTGTATGGAGCTGAAACTTGGAGAACTACAACAACCACAATCAAGAAAGTACAAGTATTTATAAATAGCTGCCTACGCAAGATACTCAACATCCACTGGCCGGATACCATCAGCAATAGCCTTCTGTGGGAGAGAACAAACCAACTTCCAGCTGAAGAAGAAATTAGGAAAAGACGATGGAAATGGATAGGACATACATTACGCAAATCGTCAAACTGCATCACGAGGCAAGCCCTAACTTGGAATCCTGAAGGGAAGCGGGAAAAAGAAAGGCCAAAGAACACATTGCGTCGGAAAATAGAAGCAGATATGAAAAAGATGAATTACAACTGGACGGAGCTGGAAAGGATTGCCCAGGACAGGGTTGGATGGAGAATGCTGGTGAGCGGCCTATGCTCCTTCACGAGGAGTAACAGGCGTAAGTAAGTAATATTGTGGTCGATAATTTGAACGCTTTCTTCATTATAATAATTAGATTATTTATAATAGATAGACAAAGTTTGAATAGCACTAAGGTATTTTGTGTATAGATTCAGGTACTGGTTGGCTACCAATTAACAGACCCTTATAGACATTGAAAAAGAATTCACGCCAACTGATCGAATAGTCTGATTTTAATTCGGTTCTTTAAAGACGAACAAATGTTGTCAACATGATACGATTGTTACAAATATTTCTGAATATCATTTCTAAATTCAGCAATCTCACGTAATAATGATAAACTGTGATTACAACTAACCATGCTTATAACCATCTTTTACATTGAATATTGAATGAAACAGTCGGTTGATCGATGATCAAATTTTTCATCGAACAATATATTACTCAACTGCTATCAATATTCAGAAAATCCACTATGTCAATCAGACTTCATGTAATCGACTTTAAATTATAATTTATGTGTGAAAAGCTGACGATATTAATCTGGTATTAAAATCAAAGTCAGTAAAGTGAAGTTTAAACGTTTGATCATACTGACAAAAAGGCTAATTGAACTTAGTAACTGGTCATCGACTATTTGCGGTGTATAAAAAAACTCTGTATTGTGTTTCTCGGCAGTGATAAACAGAAATGTATTCTGAGAAAGTACATTGTAAAATAATGGATTTAAAAAAACACTGCGAAACATTTACATTTTTAAAATTTACAACAATAACCATTGTGAAGACAATGATTGTACACACAATAGTGAAAATGATTTATAAGCTGAAAAGTGTATTTAATAACCAGAAGCTACATCGAAATTATTATAACCATACAAAAAAATAGATTACAGAGTATTACTTAAAATCATTTTCTTAAAATACTGTCCATGTTGTTTACTATAGTTTAGATACACGATAACTGTAAAAATTCAAAGCACTTGAGTGCGACAGAACTATTAAGCGGATAATTAGGTATTGCAGATTGACAAATTATTAGCTAATCCAGAAATATAACGGTTAGTGGTAGGGTGACAACCAAAGTATGATACGACTTCGTTTACAATCGTTAAGTTTCATACCAAACAGACATTAATGACAAAGTAGAACAAATATAATTGATAATAACGTTCATAGTGATAATAGACAGTACGTAAGGTTCAAAAGGAAAGAGGCAAGTTACCTAACACCTTCAACTTAAAATTATCTTGTGAGTCTAAAATTCCCAATGTAAATTAATCAATAACGTCATTAGATGATGTCTTATATTCGGGTCACATCCAAACTCCAATCCGTTTTCATGCTATTTATCACTAAGCCTTCGGATATGAGGTAAGAGGATAAGGATTAATAAGAAAGTATACTTTTTGAAGAAGATACTTGGTCACTTATCCACGGAAGCCTGTGTTAGGAAATGTACTATTTCCCAAGACGTTCCACCAGTTTTACAAATAGTAATCTGAATTTCTAAAACCTGTAAGCATAGCTGGATGAAATTGAAATTATCAGTAGTTATTCTTCGAGAAAAACCTTAAAAAATTGCAAATGCCCTAATGTTTGCCATAAGTCGCCGCTGGTTGGAGTAAAACTGAAACGTCTGGTTTTATTTTTGTTCTCAATATTTAGTAGCTAAATCAAGAGTCATTGGGAGTATAGTTTGAATTCAGAATACATGTATATATAAACTTACACGTGCTTGATTTTTCGGTTTTAACAAAGGTATTAGTGTTGAATATATTTTAGAAAACATATAAGGACTATTGAAAATATGGACAGCTTTTACTCGTACAGGACTTGAACCTTGTAAAAAATGTACTGCTCGATGTAGAAACCAAGGAGACATTAAATTAATGGCATGTCTCCAGGAAAAGCCTGATAGGTCCACTAGAATTATTACTCCATGCACTTGTACAGCTGGCCAAGACTAAACAGAAGACAAGAAAAGTGAAATGATAAATAAACATGTAAAATAAAATGTATAAAAATACAGATGACACTTTTCTTACAAATTAAGATGACTAATTATTGAAAAATGAAATACTCCCGAAAAATCCAACCGGAATCTGTTGCAACGTGTGGGACTGCAGGTTTTTATAAGCAGCGTATTTATCGATCGCTTCTGTGACAGTGACACGTAAACACATAGTGGACGACCTAGTGCCCTGATTGGCCCTGCTTCGCTGTCTGTCCTAGCCAGTTGAGTCAAGAACGCAAGTCACAGCCTCTGAGTTATGAATCATTGTACTTCAGACATACTCTATTTATATGCCAAACAAACAAACCACATCGTACCATAAAATAGAAAACAACATTTACACAATATTTAACAAGTGAAATAAACATCGACCAATAGGAAATGTACATTTAAGGTCCAAGGCCACCATAGACTTAACACGATAATTATTGGTATATTTTTCCGACTACCCTAATAGAATCAGTTGGTAAAAAAGTTCTTGAAGTCATTGTTTCGGAACTTTTTAACTGTACACTTGAACTTCAAAACTAAATGGCGCTGAACTCGTATCTTAAGCATGCTTCGGTACTTTCTATAAATATCCACACTGTATCATAGTCGATTTGAATTGTGATAAACTTCAGTGGTTTTTCTTTGTCATTTCTAGTGTTTTGAAAAAGGATTAGGGTTATCTGTTGTATTCCTTGTACTTTCCAAACGTAGCTGCGACCTTGATGTGATGGTCAGGCTAGTCTGCCGTGATGACTCGACCGAGCTATATCGGCTAAAACACATGTTCCTTTACGAACTACTATGCCAGGAAGGTTGGCTGGAGAATGATAAGACTAAAAGCAGCAACTTAAGGCCTGACAGCGAGGTCGTATTACTAACTGTAGAGGAGTGTAACATCAGTAAGGGGTTTCTCTTGGACTACTAGCATCTGCGGCGATACCACCTTCGCACAACGGAAGAGTTGAAAAAGATCGACCGTAAAAGTTTCACACCTCACCCTAACCCACAGATTTCTCTCTCCGGTAGTAAGGCGTTCAGAAATGTGGAAATAACTCGTCAAAAAAGCCGTGCGCGACCGGCCTCAAACAGTTATCCTTTTGGCTCTGTGGTCACGCTCCCATGCCGCCAAGAGCACCACTAATTTGGCTTCCTCTTCAGATCCCTTAAGAAGAAATATCCCTCCACGGTGTGAGCAACCCGGAAGTGACGACCTCCCACATACTTCTATCAACACCCGAGATCATCTTGTTGACGGTAGAATCCCTTCCTCACTTCTTATTAATTCTTCCATCCACATGACCAACCACTCTCATTTATATTTATCACCACGCGCCACCAGTGCTAATGATTTGAGTCCACGAAATGTTATTCCTGATCTCTTGAAACCGCACTTCAAATTACATGTTGGAGTCTTTAATGCTCAAATTTTGCGTAAGACAGGACAACAGGCTTCGTTAGCTAGCACTCTAGAATCTCGAGCCACCGATGTATGCTGCGCCTCCAAAATGCGCATACAGGATCCAAGCACAGTCATTCATTTGGCCTCACACTGTCAATATAAAGAACCTACACGATTTACCCTTTGATTATCTGCAGATCTCACTGCTGATTCCTGTGGCCTCACTGGTGTAGGTATAGCATTAAGTCCTACATCAGAACAGGCACTCCTAGACTGGATCCCAATAGACAGTAGTAGGTGATTTTAATGCTCAAGTAGGTAAACTAAACTAAACTGAAAAGAAATTAGGCGGATTTTTTACGGTGTTGCAGCCGAACGAACAGATAATGACGACTGTCTGTTGCAACTACGCTCAGATAACCTTCCATTTCTGTGAACGACCAACTTAAAACATCAAGAGAAACATCTTCTGACGTCGCGACCCCCACAACAGACTCATCGATGGACTAATATAGATCACATTGCCATTAGCTATCGTCGGAGGGATTCTATTGAAGACAGTCGCCCATTCTGGAGCACAAGTTTAGACTCAGACCATGTGCTAGTTTGAACACGCATTTGTCTGAGTGTTACTGGATGTAGAACGGCCACATTAAGAAAACCTGAGAGTCTAACTTAGTAATAAAAAAATTAATAATATATTTCAGAAACATCTATGGAGGGAGCTAGTCAACCGCCAAAATGATATCTACCCCGAGGTACCTTGGTAGGGTATCCAAAAAGCTGTGGAAACAGCAGTGATATCTACTAGTAACCTAAACCAAGAAAGGTTAGGAAAAAAGCGCTGGATCTCAGTGACGTCTACAGAACTGATAGATGATAGAAAATTCATCTCATCTGGCTTTGAACTCATTAATATTCAGAGGGATCCTAAAAGTAGGCTGATAAAAAGCCAAAGCAATGATCGTGAGCAGCGGTAGGTGGAGAAAGCAGAAGAGATGTGAAAAGGCAGCAGCGATAGGTAACGTTAAACAACTGTTCAGAATGTCGGGGAAACGCATATTAAAACTTCGTCTGTTAATGAAAACATCTCGCAAAAAGGCGGCATCATTATTCACTCTCAATCCAGAAGACCGAAATGAAAGACTAAACACCTTAGGGGACAGTTCAACTAGCGTTTAGTCACACTTCAGTTACCCACTATCTCAAAGCAACCTGAATGGGAAACTGATGTAAGTCCTTCAACACTTAGTGAGCATGAAAAGGTTATAAGTAATCTGAAGCGAGGGAGAGTAGCAGGGTCTGGTGTACTAACCCTTGAGATTTTTAAGGATGGTGATCCAGTTTTAGCGGCTAGATTAACTAAAATCTTATCTACAATCTGAGAACTAGACTTAATCCCATCTGACTGGTCTCAATCGCTGATCGTTCCACTTTATGAGAACGGACAAAAATCCTCTTGCAACAATTACAGAGAAATGAGTTTAACTAATATGGTGCCTAGAATATTGGCCCCAATAACACTTCGACGTCTAACTGGAGCTCATAGAGAGCAAATTCCAGAAAACCAGACCGGTTTCAGACCTGGACGTCGATGTATAAATCAGATATTCAGTTTTCGGCAGATTATCGAACATAGACATATTTTCCGAAGCCCTACTATAGTTGTATTTATTGACCTTAAGTTAGTATTCGACTCTGTTGATCGTGAGGCTCTATGCAGCGTCTGTCTTGAAAGGTGTACCAAAGATGTACATTGACCTTGTACAGGATCTCTACTCGAACACTTCTGGTCGAGTCAGAGCTTATGGTGAAATGTCGGAATTGGTCACTTCAAGTGGCGTTCGACTTGTTTGTTCGCTTTCTTTATTGTTATTTAACTTTGTCATAAACATTCTTTTGGCGGCAATACTGATCGTGTGACTTTCCAGGGGTTGATTTTCTACCGGGAGATTCACTCGCTGACTTAGAATTCGCAGACGATTTAGTTGTGTTTGCTGAAGAGGCTGACAAGATGCAGTCTTCTGACCACCTTAAGCAACAAAGTAAGCATGTTCGGGATGCGGTTCTCTCCCTCCAAATGGAAAATGTTAATTCGGGATTCGCCTGCGTCATCACCCGAATTAGTGATAGGAGGTGAAGTAGTTGAGCGCGTCGACCGCCTGACCTATCTTGGGAGTCTCATCGTTCCTGATGGTCTGGTGCCTAACATAATCTCAGCACGAATTCAGGAGGCTCAATCGGCTTTTGCCAACTTGCTCCGCTTGTGGAGAAGGTGAGATATCCTTCTGTCAAGCAAACGACAAGTTCACTGCGTAGCAATTTGTTGTGTTCTGCTTTATGGATGTGAGACATGGCCACTAAAAGAGGATATTCGTAGGTTACTATTATTCGATTATAGGTCTTTACGAAGCACTGTTCGTGAAATTTCAGACCGTGGAGTAAGCAATACCTGAGTTAGGAATAGAGTACTAGGTAAAGATTGCGAATCGATCGATGAGGCAGTAAATTTTCATCAACTGAGGTGGTTAGGACATACGTTACGTATGTCCGACCACCGTCATTCTCAACGCGCGGTTTTATGGAGCAGAAGCAGTCCGAAAGAAAGCTAAGAACGGCCAAACCATCAGCCCATGAAGTCACTGACAGTTCGACTTAGCCAAGTTAATAGATACAGACTGCTTGGTCGGGGTCATTGTGATTATCGTAAGCAATGGTTAGAGACTTTGAATGACACGGCTCGAAATCGTTTGCAGTGGTGCGAGTGCATCTGTTCATTTTCTTCCCCCAAATCCTGGGATTCTAAATTCCTCACAAATTGTTTTTGTTTTTGTATCACTGATTTATATTTTGTTCTTGAATCTTACCTTTGATGCCTAATCTTTCCTATTAGCTTTAATACTGTTACTACACCTGTTATTCTGGGATTTGTCTTAATAACATCTCTCTTTGCTAATGGGGCAACTTGAACCGATGTACATATGTACCAGGTTGTACGTTGTGAATAACTGATTGACTGTTTCTTTTACTTTATCATGCCTGATTACCAAATTATGTAACAAAGCCAGTACGTGATACCTAGTATATATATATATATATATATATATATATATATATATATATATATATTGCAGCAAAATCGAAAAAAATATATATATACCCAACTGTCTTCAACAGTATTAGTTGATATTAACCGGTCAGTATTTTTTGTAACTAGCGTAAGCGGAAATTATATTTATTGTTGGTGGAGTTTTGCTCATTGAGCTCAATGGTTTGGTCGTGATGAGGACAAGTCGAAAGTCAGCAATAACTAATCAAGATCAAGATGAACAGAACAAGTTGTGAGTCATATGTGAATGCTTAACTTCTGCATGAATTTTTTGCCAATGATATTGTTCGGAAGAACAATGAAAGCTCCATGACCAAACCATCCAGCTCAAAGAACAAAACTTCATCAAAATCATCCACATGAGCTACAAATCTTCGTCACCATTTTAAATAGACACCATAACTGATGAATCTTTTGCAGGCGACTAAAGTGTTTTTGATACATTCAATCAAAGAGATTAAGTGTATGACCATTTATCCACGTGGTTACAAAGTATTCCACCATTCTATTCTAAACTATTAATCTTAATTTCCGACTGAAACTTCTAATCCTAAAATTAGCGCTTTTGGGGTTTTAATGCAGGGAATTATTCATTCATATCAACAGTATTACGAATGACTACATATTGGATTTTCCTTCGCAAGGTCATTCAACAATTGCTGAAGGTCATCAGTAAAGTATACTGTCATCAAAAAAACACCTTATTTTCCAGTAAAAGGCACCATCAACAGAGCATTAGTAAACGAAACGCACTTAACTAGTTAATTAACCAACCCAGTAGTTAAATGTTGGTTGGAATGATCAGTAACAAATTAAGAAGACATGTTACGTAACAATACAACAAATTGTATGCATGCGGTCAAGAAAGTAAAAATAAATCACACAACATTATTGTGAGTAGATGATGACGTAAAATTGTTTTAATATGCTAAATAAAACCGAACAAGAAATCAATACTTAACTCAACTATAGTTCAAGGAAATAATACTAGGAAGGACAAACCAATAGAGACATAAGCATAGTGTTAGACAGGATAGATTTCGAATTCTAATTTAATTCCGGTCGATGCTACATTTGATTTAGATGCATCAAACTACATATTCTTACTGAAGAGTTTATTAAGCTACAATTTGTTAAGAAAATACATATTTGTGTAACCAAGATTAGGTCACATGGTTTAGTGTGGAAACCAGTGGATACTTGTTCTCCTGGGCAAGTCGAAGTGAGTGAAGTTGTAGTCTTATCTGAGATGCTGGCTATGATTGGTTGTTGTTAATGATTGTGCCTCAGCCGTCTGTGTATATAAATATTATGATTACCTTCTCATTACTATAAGGGGATTATGGAGATTGAATATTTCACAGTTTACATAGAAGACTGGTTTTATCCGGATAAACTGGACCTTTCCTTAGTGATACACTGAAGAACAGTTAGCCCAAGGACATTATGAGCTTAACGTGGGAATGTACAGAGGATTGTATGTATATACCTCTAAATAGGAGAATATATAAATAATTACTATAGATAATTAAATATCAAATACTAAACTATAATAATATCGCAGACTTACCAATAATAATTCTTCGATGACAAGTACATTAGCACGAAATATATCGTTTGTTGACCATTCTGCAGGATTCCATAGACCTGGTCTAAAGTAGATAAGTGCTCTACCTTCTGAATCTGGTTGAGGCAATCGACATACAACTCCACTTTGAAATACGTGTTCCACTAATGATGGTCTTAAATCATTGAATATATCTGGATAGCGTAATCTTAATATGTAATAATTTGTATACAGTCTGAATGCATTATCCTGATTAAATTTTTTAGCACGTAGAAAACGTAGAAGAAATTCATCAGCCAGGCATCCTTGTAAACCTAATGAAAAAAACATCGAAAAGTATGTCTTCATAGTACTGCGTGATACTCCTAGTTCCTTTGCCAACAAAAATAAAAAATTTCCTTTTATATTCCTCAGTCACTACCACACTAGTTAATCTAATAGTGAAATTCGTAGTATACGAGTTACTGTTGCTATAGAGAGCCAATCAGAAGTAGCCTGATGAGAAAGTCAACCGTCCACTGGTTAAGAAATGGCCTGGTTTCCTAAGTGGTAAAGCTATATATATATATATATATATATATATATATATAAATATTCCTGTATTTTACTCGGTAGCCCAACATGCTTTCTCACCTACTCTTGTGTTCTCGCTCAAGTAATCAGGTGGATGTTAGCACGTAGCACACCGTGTATCAGTATCAGATTCCGGACACCAACTGTCACAACGGTGATTTTATTGAAAACGGTTGACTAGATCAACAATTATCACTTTAAAACATATTGGGCATTCGGAATTAGTCGAAAGGCTATTCTGAATCCAGGTTTCGTGATAGTTGTTATTCGTCAGTAAGGCGTGAATGTAATCTTGATGGGACTGGTGCTACATATGACAGCCAAACTAGTGTCAGCCTAATGAACGGCAGTAACTGACATTCTGTAGGATTGACATATTTATAATGAATGAACCCTATGTAGTGCCAAATATGGAAGTGGTCACTACTAATTGATTATTAACTAGCTGCCAATACACTTACAATTCTCCTGGGAGTAGGGGGAAAAGTAAATGTTAAAAGAATAAACCAGTACGAGGAAAGCGTTTTTTACTGTTGCTAAAATGGAGGAACTTTAGCAAGAAAAACTTAAATTCGAAATTGCAATCAATGAACAGCAAAAACAAAGAGTAAGACATATCCAACAAAATCAATAGTACATATTGTCTATCTTAGTCATAACCTTTTCGGTAATCCAATATCCAGGCGATAATCCCTTAAAATACTTCGACCAGGCAGAATCAATTCAAACGAAAAAGTGCATTAAATATTAACAGGGGACTTTACCATTAAAAAGATTAATATAAATTCCAGTTAAGCAATAACATCACAAAAACAATAACCAAGCCTCCTTGTCCACAATCATAATCATCATAAAACAAACAAACGTAAATGTCCAATAAATTCTATGAAAAACACCAAACTGACAAATAAAACCGATTTACTTTGTAACTGAATACGATGTCTTAACTCAGTAATGGCATTCTGTCGTTGTTGCGGTTGTTCGTTTAATTCTAAAAATGCTTTTTCCAATGTTTGAGGGGATAATTCTATCATATTCAAATTTGAACCCATCGTTTATTGAGCATGAGGAAATACATAATCATTATCATTAAGTTAAATCTAACCGTTTCTAAAAAACCCTGAAGCAAAGAAAACTCAATGAGAAAAGTTATTGATAAAAGCAGCGTTATGCTTATTAACGAACATAGATTGCATAAACCTCATGACCGGAAACAACAATAGATCCATAAGAAGCACTATAGATCAACGTCTTGTAAACATGTCAGTCGACCAAAAGACTAAGGGTTAAAAATCATCTATAAACTAAACAGAAATTTATTAAAGACGACGACCTTCCGTTTCTAGCATTTACAAAGCCTTCGTCATATATCTAAAAAACCAGAACTGTGTCCACAAAAGAAACTTGTTGAACCTCTTCTGTTTTTAGCTATACAAACCAATTACCTAAATTTCCTCTCTTTCTCTATGGACCTGCCATTTCAAGCCGACTGATCCCTGTTTCTATGTTCTTTCTAATTATAACTCATTTCAAATTCAACATTTTAAATAACCGTGATACACAACCCCTTCACCGCAATTTCCGATTTTATCTAACTCCTGTGATATTCTGATGAATACTGAAGGCATCGAAAGTTATGTTTTCAGCTTCTTAACAGGTGAAAAATTTTCAAACAGTTATTTATTTTGGTCATTTGTAACTGTCCAGCAAATTATTGTCATTGTCAACAGAAATATTAGTGACTATCTTTTAGAAAAAGAGTATATATCTGCAATTTTACAACGCCGATAATGAATTCTCCGAAAATAAAACTCTTTATTAAGCTTCACCTTCTTGTTTTAATCTAATTACTAATTGATCAAAAGTAATCAGAATGCAACTTTATATTCATTAATATGCTATTTAAAAAAGAATTTCATAAAAAGTGCACAATCTTTTTAAATAATAGCGTATAGAAAGAAAAATCCACATTGAGTTACCCTAATCGAGAATAAATTCAAACATATTTGTCTGAACTTTTGTATTTAGAGAACATCAAAGTTATGTTATAAGGTAGTATAACTATTTTCAAACAAGAGTCTTGATGACCCAACAGGCAATAATGCACAAAGTTATCTTAGATTCCATGGGAAACTTTTATCAAGTTATCTATTTTTCTATTTATTTTCCATATCACCAAGTAATGATTAGCATGAACGTAGATGGAACATCATATGTAGCCAGTCAGCCGTAACGTCGAATGAGGTACAAATATGAATCAGCCCGACTTATAACAAGTGCCCTGGTACGGCCGAGGGTGGAGAGAGTCAGCTCGCTTTTTTCAAATGCTCTCACGTCGCCTACTAGCACTATCATCTGTCTGTTTAGTAAGTATGGAGTATTAGATATATATAGCAAATCAGTTGATTGGATAGTGAATCATTATCAAGCAAACTGGTTAGGGAATGTATGATATAAGCCAGACCGACTCCTACCTTAACGGGTGATGTCCTGTGTAGAAGTAAACTAAAAGTAGTGCCAAAACAAAATATGATATTCGTCTATGAAATCATTAGTAAATCAAGTGATTTGTCCTGATAGATACAGACTTTCTGGCTCTAATCAATGTTTAGGGACCTTGGGTGAGAAAGGTCAGCATCGATTCCGATGGCAAAGGTGAATCAAACCTTAATCTTCCCTTAGATTCTGATTCTTGAAATCTCTTTATATCTGTTTTCAATAATCTTTACACCTAACGTTTCCTACTAAAACTGATCATATTTAAACTTCTAATACTCTCGGGTTCGTCTTAATAATTCTACCTCTCTATGTTAATGCGTTGTCGCAATATGAACAAATACATGTGTTGAGTCCTACGTCGCATATGACTGACTGATTACTGGATCCCGAAAGCGTAGGGTAACCATGTAAACACTCATAAAAAATGACCTCATCTGAACAAATTCAACCACCAACATATATGTTCGAACCGCTTTTCACCTACTTTTAGTAAAGCAATCGGGTAGTATCAATAGTATTCATGCTAAATATGTTGATTATAGTCGTATTACTTTTAGCTGCCGAGTTACAGTAGCATGTTACTTAATCGAAACGAATGTTAAGGATTGTATAGAGTTGATAGCCTATAAAGTTCAAACTAAAATAAGTCGAATATGTTGAGGTTTAAAAATGTACAAGGGCTTCAGTGATATATGAGGTGAAATATAGATGTATTTGACTCGAAATGTATCAATAAGAAACACCTGGAGTCTTTATAAAAATAACTTTTATTCTGGGGTTCTAATAGAATATTTCTCCATAGAATCTGTCTCCAGACATAAAAAATCAGTCAAGTCTATCCGTCAAACGTTTTAAAACCCTAGTCTTGTTTATTTTAATCATAATATATTAACTGAAATGATGAAAACCAAAGCCCCATTTACATTTTGGAAAATAAAATTTCCAATAAGAAGAAGAGTGGGATAATTTTGCATAAGTCTAGTTTGGAAGCTAATCAATTACAAACAGCAGTAACTGACTAGTTAGTACAAGTTATTCCACTAAAGAAACATAAACTCAAGCACGGAAAATAGTAAATTACTGAATTGCGAAAAAATAGAGTATGAAGGTGCATAAGTTAATCACAAAGAGGTAGCATTTACGGCTTGGTGCGCACTTTGTCTATTCACGTATTTCATTTGTACACTACCAACATAAATAATTGACGACATGCAGGAATTAATGCGTAATGCTCTGGGTAACGCATCACTGCAAATATATGGCACAATTAGACATCTCATGACTTAATACAAGCAGACAATTAGAAATGTCTTAAGCTGTGTAATAAAGTTCATTTCAAGTAACAAATCAAAAAATCCACAAGGAGATTAAAAGATCTATCAGCTTACAACCAAGATAGAACTTACAGAAGACTTACGGCTTGATAAATTCACAAAATATATGGTGAGCGGAAAAACAAAACGGTAGAAATCCTCCGGATGTGTATGGCTAAACCGTAAATTACAACGACAATGTGCTGAAAATGAAGCTCAAAAATCTGATGGCCACGACCTTCAATTTAAAAATAATTGATGAGATACTTTATTCAGATACATATACAGGATTTCGAAACATAATGTTTGTACATTCACTGCAACAAATATAGTTGAAATAGTGCAGATAAAACATTAAAATTCAGTGAAGTCTTGCATCGATGAAGTTTATTTGAAAAATTATTTATTTGAAATTCAATGTTAAGCTAATTACCTAAGAAATCGACGTCTTGGGCTAGGGTTAATCGATGTCCTAATCAGTCTAAGAAGGGACTGTATCTCGTATTATTGGGCTTATAAGCTTATTGTACAATAAATTATCATGGAATCTTAAGACATCAAAAGAATAAAGGACATTCGATAAACAAAAATATAGGGTCGAATATAAAAATCAAACAATGGTATACATTAGAAAAAATGAAGCACCGAACCGCTTAACATTGAAAACGAGTTGGAGAATCCGTCGGATAAACTTTGCCCAACGCAACGAAAGATCACGGACTTACTCCAAACATCGAGACCACAATCGCCAGAAATCTACTGACACACAGGCGGCTTGCAGGTATGTAATGGGATAGTTATGGAATGGTACGACTCAATTAAAATTTTTCATATACTCACAAAAGAGAATCCACCTCATTCTGTCTATCTCAGTTGTAATTTATATTAGATAAGCTCACAAACAAATAAAAAAACCCTACGAATTCGATCGCTTTCCATAGGATATTTCGTCATCATGAATCGATAAAAAAATGCTGTAAAATTTAAAAAACCCAGGAAATCTGCAGTAAAGATAAATTATATCGTAGGCTTTGCAGCATATACAGGCCGCGTCTATAGTTCTCATCGGTTACCTTGCTTTTCAATCACGTGCGTATCTAAGGTCACACAAAATAGTGAGTTCAAACTATGTGTTAGTATAAACTTCGTCTAATTGTGCAATATCATTCGAAAAAGACAGGACTTTACTTGATAGACGAGCTCAAAAACTTCAAACGTGCAAAGCAGGATTAGCGAATCATCTGTTCATTAGGATATGCGATTTGGTAGTTGAAAGAGGCACATTGTTATGAAAATCTGAGCATCAAAACAATTAGGTCGATAGTAGAAGTGATCTGAAAATAACAGCGGGAGTATTCCTCTTGTAGGGTCAGTGAAATTCTACTGAGACCTGGCCAGATCATCCGGCAGTTAGGTCATTGAATATTGTACAAATAATCGATCCTTTTCAAGGTCAAGGATAACCAACGCACGCGAGTTAATCGTACTCCATGGATTGGCCCATGCGGCAGTGGTATTACCTCCGCTTGTATCTACTTTAACCAATTCATTTCTGTAATAACTTCCTTTGTGTTGTAGAGTCTTCAAGGCATCTATAGTACCTTGATACGTCAATGGGATAGACCATGTAATGTGTGACTTTGACGTTAGCTGGTTTCTCTCACCATTCACATCTAAATCGAGTAGGTCTCTAATCATTTCGACATAGATCATTTGCGTTGGTGATCTACATCCCTAATGCCTATAGGGTCAAAGTGATTGTCGATCAACAACGGAGAGCTGTGTAGAATTATTGGGATCCTACTTCAGTTACATGAGGATGGTGTGATCAACAAGCCAACGTGGAAGTTACATTTAACGGCTAGCATCTAACGCGGCTTACTCTCTCGTCGTATACAGCTACTACGTCCTGTTTGAGGACCGTACAACAAAGACAACGTTATTGCAGAAATATTTTAGCAGGAGTAGGTACAAGAAAAAAATTGCGACCAAAACCGCCCGGACCAGTCTAAGGAGTGCAACTGCTCGATGTTCCCATTGACCCTGACGAGAAGCTGAGGACTATCTGATATTCAGTGACACGACTGTCGGGAATAGTATTGAAGACCGCCCACCAGCGAATGTAGTACTGGAGATCGAACGTTTGTCAGTGGAGCGAGTCTTTTCATATCTGATCAAAAACCACCACTTTCAACTAGGTATGCAAGACATAAAAAACTAGATACTTGTTCGAGTTCACTGTAATATTCTTTGCAATGAAACTGAAGATGACACTGGTATTCAGTGTTTGACAACGTTTTTACAAGCAACACCTTCTAATATAATTTGCACCCACCGAGAGAAATCAAAAGACAGAGTCGAGGAGATCGGAAGAGTGTATTTGGCGATTACCAACATATCAGGATTCTCTGATTAATCTGGCTAGCGATTGCGGTAGATGTTGAGCACAGCGTTACCACACGTGATCTGGCACGGATGCATGACCGAGCGCCTTCAGCTAGGTGAGTCCATTGAAACTAGTGTGGTCAGCATCCACGTCAAAATTTACAGAGTTATTTATTTTGGAGATTTATTTACCGTCACATCATCACTTCCCGTAATATGGCAGCAGAACAACTTAGACCAAATGGAAGTATGCATTTGGACAGACCTGAAGGAGAAGATGGTCTGAAGGGTCTGAAGATAACCGTATTTTAAGTCAACGTTCGACAACACCTCAGAACCACAAGGTCGATTTAGAATATCTTCAGGCCCTGGCGTCCTGCATATTGGTTTCAGCGAACGGAAGTTCAGTGTTAATCTATAGTCACCACATATTCTTGGGGTCTTGCCGTCCGATTTCAGTGGTGTACCAATAGGAGTACCCCATACCAAGGATTGAATCGGTCAAATTATATCATTCGCACACAAGCCGTTCAATATCTTATGTACTACATCCTGAAGACCAAAAATAATTATTCGTGCTTTAAGAAATACTGGATCACCATGTACTCGAAGCTTCATAGGCTGAATTTTCATACCTCCACCGCACTTAACACACGCAGATAATAAGTCTTTAAGTAAAGTGTCCACTTGCGTTTCCCTCTTTCAGAATATTACAAGCACAGCAAATAAAAACCAACGAACTATCATACCTAGGTTTAAAGTACAACATACAAATCTCAAATAGAATTTTTTAAAATATTATGTCTAGCCAAATGTGTGTTCTGTCAATTATATTATGACTGAAGTTTTATTAAACCATGGAGCACGAAGTTATGCAACCATAGTTTATCAAATGAAGAATTTCGTCAGTTTAATGCATAAAAAACGCGTTAAAGATTGATTTAAATAAGATTTTAATTTCATGTCTTGAAGTTCATAGTATCCGCTTAATTGTTGCACTTCCATAGCTGTGCCACTCTACACTTGCTTGGAGAGAGCATGTGTTCTTTAGATTTAGCAGGCTATAAATTGTGAATACAAAAATTTCTAAGTCACTTATGTGTATCGTCAAGGCATTTTTAGAAAGTTTTGAAGTTATATTTTGTCTACGTAATCTTACGCAACTTATATACTAAATAAAATAATCCATCAATGATGCGATTCAAAATTTACTTAAGCCATGGATTTTTGATTCAGTCAAAGCCAGGACTATTGAGCAAATTATATTGTTCTCAGACAAATAGCTATCCTGAATAACTTCACAACCTAATGGCAATAAATAATTAGATTTGTCGATTTCCCCTTTTAGTTATCTCCACTATTAGGTAGGACCGCACCAGTGTGGTGTATAACTAAGACATTGAAGAGCATTTGAAAAAATACTACTTTGATTACGTCTTGAAACTCATACGTTGCAATCATCAGTTTGCTGTTTTCAGAAACATTCACTAATTTATTGATTGTCATAGGTGTGAATAAGTCGAATACGGTAGTTAGTATAACGTCAGAATGTCTTATATAAACAAAAGCAAACAGCGAATAACCTCAATATTTTAAAAAAGGAACATTCGAGGCAAACTTGAAATTGTGAGATTATTGAGTGATGGTTTTGGGAAAACTGTCAAATGGTGAGGAAAATACCACGCATTTCTCGTTTGCTTTTCTTAAAAAATTTCGGAGATCTTTCTAGAAACTTTACAGGATTCCCCAAAAGCAGAGTTGATTTTGAGGTTAAACTTTGAGGCCAGTGTAAATCCTGAATCTTACTTGACAAATGACAACCAGAAAAAAGTCTGAAACATTTGAACTCTGCCACGAGAGTTGAAGGGCTTTCAGTGAAAAAAAGTATGACGCCTCAAAAAGAAAGCCAAGATTCTTCGGAAGCCACGAAGTCAATGCTCATTCTAACAACCGGGACAATAATTAATATGAGTACATGGAATGTATAGACAATCTCGTTGCGAACAAGAAAATGCTTCACTTAAACAGGTAATCGCAATGATGCATTTCAACAAAATACGAAGAGCACTTATGAGATGAGGATCTTACTGATGCGTGATCAAATCAACAATCGAAATAAAGAGGTTAAAATGAAAATTGCCCAGTGCTGTGCGTTCATCAGTCATAGCAATGGAGATCATAATGATCAGTTTAATGAGAGGTTAGATGCGATCGTAAAGAAGTGCGCAAGAAAAGACCCGACCATCCTGACGGAAGACCTGAACATCAAAGTCAGAATGGACAACACCGGATATGAAGATATAAACGGATAACATGGACTGACTGGGAGAAATGAATGATAGCGTTGTTAGATTTACGAATTTATGTGCTTTCGATAAAATGTTTATAGGTGGCACAATATTACACCACAAATACATACACAAGGCTAATTGGAATCTCATGGAATCACACTACAGAGAATCAGACCGACCATTTGTGTATAACTAAATATTCAGGTCAATGGGAGTCGTGAGAGCAAAGAAAGGAACGTACATAGACTCAGAGTGCCACTATATAGTGTCCGAGATTAAACTAAAGCTAAAGAGGCATTGGACAACTGTACAAACAGAATTACAAAGGTCTGATACTGCCTTTCTTCAACATACTGACAAACTCAACGAATTCAAGATAACTTTGAACAACAGCTTTCAAGTCTTACAAGATCCACTTAAAAAAGAGGAAACTACTATGGGAATAACTGAAAAGCGATCAGAGGCACTAACTAACACTAACATGTCAGAATTTTCCGAGCAGCAAAGAAGCATCATCATAAAGAATGGATCTCTATCGAAACCCTGAACAACATTTGGGAAAGAAAGAACAAGACAGCAGTTAACATCAGCCGAACAAGAACGGAGGAAGTCAAAGCATAAGCTAAATACACAGAAGCAAACAAGCAAGAAGAGTATTAGAACTGACAAGCAGAAATACGTGGAAACCTGGCAAGGACGGTGGAAAGAGCTGCAAGAGAAATATATTTTTGGTAGAGATCATGAATCGATTGACATTAAACCAACACTGAAACCTCAGAACCACTGAACGGCCGTTTCGTCCTTTTTGGGACTCCTCAGTAGTGCGCACCCACAACCCCGGCCGGCATCCAATGGTGTTAATATCGGTAATCAACCAATTCAGAAAATTGCGCGACCGTCTCTTAATTTAGATACCTGTCTCTAGCCGACACTTCAAGGAACTTTTGAATAGACCCGCTCTATTGAATCCACCATACATCGAAGCGGTACACAAACACAACTCCCTGTAGAAGGCACTCCACCAACGATCGAAGAAATCAAAATGGCCTTCAGACAAACTTATATTGGGACCTGACAACATACCAGCCGAAGTCAGACAGAATTAACCGCAAACACGCCCCACACTCTATTCAGTAAGGTTTGGAAGAGGAAATGCCAACGGACTGGAAAGGACACCTCATCAAGAAACTAACGAACGAAAATCGAGGCAAATACGGGGACTGTCGAGACATCATGGAGCTGTAAGTATAAGGAGACGTTTCCAGCAGTGTTGTTTAACGGCTCAATGGTCTATAGGTTAAGTGTTCGTGCGCGAGACCGATAGGTTCTGGGTTTAACTGGATGAAAAATTTAGTAGACACCCAGCCCCAGGACCAAAAGGTTGGATTCTGTAAGAATCAGTCATGCACAGACCAAATCGCGACACGGCAGATCGTT